CGACTGGTTCTTCTTCTTTGGCAGGAGCCTAGCGGGTAGGGTTTGGATTTAATGTGATGCGAAATATTTATACTTATCTCTTGTTAATCTGCACCGTTCATCGCGTTTGATTTTAATCGTCTGATCGCGTTTAAAGAAAAAATAAATCTAGATCGTTCATCGCACTTTGATATCGACCGTTCGATTGTGTTTAAAGAGAAAATGAATCTAAATCGTTCATCGCGATTTGATCTCGACCGTCCGATTGTGTTTAAAGAGGGAATGAATATGGATCATTTATCGCGTTTAATCGCGATCGTCTGATTGTACCTGATGAGGGAACGGATCCGGACCGTCCACGTTTGTGGAAACGCTTCCGAGTCATCTGATTGCTGGGATGTGGATCGCCAGTGTGGCCTCTCGACACGACGCGCTTCGGTTCGTAGAGACTGCTGACTGAGCTGTCCTATGTGGTAAAAAATTTTTTAATTGCGTTCTGACCTTCAGTTTTTTATTTTTTATTTCAAAAATAACATCCGAACTTAAGTTTCGTCCCTTTAAATTAAAATTTATTAATTTTAAAATTAAATTTTTTATACATTTTTCTAATGTGAAAACTAATCCTGGGCCCGGGTATTACATCGTCCGTTCTCTTTATAAATGTCAGCCATTTGATCTCCTCGAGCGATTCGATCTGGGCCGTCCATTTTCTTGATTTTCTTTGCCCTCTTACACATCTACTTATTTATGTTTTTACCCTCTCTTTTTCATCTATTTTTATTTAAGTTCCTGAATTTATTAAAAGCCCCAATTTTAAAAAATTTCTTTCGTTTACACCCAACTTTAAATGTTATTTATATTTCTTTTATTTTAGGTTGATATTATATATTTATCTCGATGTGGCTTATAATATCTCTTCATATTTTCTATTAGTTTATTTCTCTAACCCATTAAAGTTAATTCTCTCTCTCTCTATATATATAACGTAATTTTAAGTTAAAATTAGAAGTAAAATACTTATTTAAGTAATTTGTATCTTATTAAATAATGTATATTACTCAAATTATTGTTAAGCTATGTTAATAATTTAGTACCAGTACCAAATAAAAGATAACAATTAAAACGAGGATACAATACTTTATATTTAATTTGTTCTTTAATTGATATAAAAATATAAAGTAAACAGACCAAAAAAAAAAAAAACCCATTAGGGTAAGTGTACATATAAAAAAATAGTGAATTTTTATTATATATTTTTTTATATTTTATCACAATATAAATAAACTAATTTAATTTATATATAGGGTTCTATATTAGCAAAACACTTAATAAATAACTTAAAAACTCTCTAGCTGGGATGAATGGTTATTATTTAAGAAAAAAATATATATATTATTATTATTAATTATTTCTGTCTTCTTGGAAAATGAAGTATTACCAACAAAATTATGTAAGAAAGTTGACTTATTCAATTTCTGGGGAAAAAAAAAAACAAATAGTTAATTAAAACTAAAACTAAAATTAAATATTGTAATCTCCTGTTTTATTCATCAATGGAGAAATTAGAAATTAATTAAGGCACGAAATATTGAAGATGAAGACACTAATAATGTAATATTATATACTACACCAACCCTTTTGAATATTATTGTTATAGAATTTATATTTTCTTTAATTTTAATTTATTATATACTAAATTTTTATTTTATCAGTGCTTTCATAATTAAAAATAATTTTTCCCCCAAAAAAATAAAAAGATTATTTCATTAACAGGGATGCCTTGACGTGATAACAAATATTATTTCAAAAATTCTCTTTGTTATATAATTTTTAAAAATCTTATTTAATTGCAAAGTATAATAAAATCAATTTTAATGCACAAGAATAGTTTGTTTCTTTAAAATATAAACCTTATATATACGAATTTACAAATATACATATATATATATATATAACAATCTTGTTAGAACATTACAAGATGGTATATACGTGGAGTTTGTTCGCATCGTAGTCACGAGAATTCATGACATATACATATACATATATATATATATATATATATATACACACACACACGTATAATTTAGAGAGAATTATTGAGGAGACGTGGACCTGCATATGTAAGGAAGAAAACAAAAGGCATGTTACAATAAGAAACACGCATGGAAACTTGAAATGACGACTCTATTTCTTCCGGCTATATATATAATACACATATATATATATATATATGCACTTTGTCCTCGACTAACTGTGTGTGGGTGTGTGTGTGTATATATATATATATAATATTATGCCAGTAAAAAAGATATATGAGAGAGGTAGCTCGAGGTAGCTCAATAACTTCTCCGAGGCACATACCCCATCATAATCTGTCCACTTTGTAAAATTTACATAATTAATTAATATATAATTATACATCAATTTTAAAATTTTAATTTATTAATATATTAATAAAATTATATAATTAAATTGAGTTAAACCCTAATAAATTATAATGTATTTTAATAAAATAAATAATTCGTGATTAGATTCCTTTGTTTACACTAGTAACTATTGGGTAAAAATGTAACTTAAATTCTATTTAAAATATAAATATAAATATATGTGCGGACAGATATAACATATTTATGTATAATTAAATGTGTACTTACATGATTAAGTGACTGATAGGGAAAAAAAAAAAAAAAAAAAAAAAAAGTCAAAATAATAATTAATCTCTGTCGTTCTAATGTTTCTGTGGTCCTGGTCCTATACATGGAAAGCTTTACACCACATGGAGGTAATGTAAGCTTCACTCATCTTCTCATCAAACAATCACATGAAATACAGCCAACATCTGTATATGTATATAAGTACCCACATCTTATGTCATATTATATATAATTTATATACCCACTTTCCCAATAATTTTTATACACTCATCATATAAGGTTCTTCACATGAATAATCAATTGATGAAATTGAAGAAAGAGGTTAGACAACTTGTCATTGTAATTATTTGATGGTCCAAAGCTAGAGACAAAAGTGTCAGATTTTACAATATAATTAGTGTAATTACAAATTTTATAAAGTTTAAAAATCAATTAATTTATTTTATAATGAAAATTATGCTTCTAAACCCAATTTATAATTATTCCCAGATTTCAAAGCCTAGCTAATTTCTTTGTTAATTATAGTACTAAACATAATCACGCTTCCTATACTTCAAAATAACTTAACTTAATTAATTATATACATAAATTAACTTCTCGTTTTTACTAATAAGAAAAGCCCAGAAGATCAAAAACACAAAAAAAAAAAAAAAAAAAACAGATAATTAAACATTATTACTTCAAAGTAAAAGGTGATTATTAACGGTGATTAACAAGATCATAAGACGATCTACTAGACCTGGGGAGATAAACTAGTGACTCTGAAACTGCAATGGACCTTTTACAAGAAGCTTGAAGATTTACCAACCCGAATCTATCACTGATACTTTTCGAAACTTTTGTGCCGCCGCCCCCGCCATTTCCCCGCCAAATGTGGCTACTGGGTTCTTGCTCGTACTGCTCGTCGTCGTCGTCGTCCTTGGAGCACTCGACGAAGGCCGCAAAGAACGGATCCAGCCGGAAACAGCGATTATGATTTCCGTAAAACTTCTTCCGGGTCAACCCGAAATCCATTAAAGTGTACTTCTTGGAGGCTATAATAGCGGGAGGGGGCAAGGGGAGGAGCTTGATGGATTCCTTCTTATTGTGAGAGTGTGAGTTCTTGGGAATTCCGGGGAGTTGCTCCCAAGAAAAGGGGACGCCGGAGAACCGGAGCGGAGTTGCCGGAGAAAGCAGTGAGGAGTCGTGGTGGTCGATGAAGTAAGATCCGAGAGAAGCGTTGGAAGAGGAAGATGATAAAGAAAAAGAAGGTGTCCGGCGAGAGGTGGAAGATTTCTTCGCCGGATTTCGGGGTCGGCTAGTAGTGAGAGTTTTTGCAGGGGAATCCATGAAGGGTTTTTTGAGAGATCAACGATGAGTTGTTTGTTTTGAAGTGGTATTCTTCACATGTGTTTATATATATATATATATATATATATAAGACAGAGAAGAAGAGAAGACTCTATGTTGGTGGTGAATCTTGTTTTTTCTTCAATATAAAAAAAAAAAAAAAAAAAAAAAAAAAAAAGTAATTTCACTACATATTTACATGAATTTTTATAATTTAAATATTAATTTTTAGTTTAATTTGAATAATTAAATATGGATATTACTAAACTAAAATAAGTATATTAACCATATCTTATACTAAATAAAATAGTTCACTAAAATAAATTATTATTCATTAGTAGCACTAAAATATATGTCTACTTTGAGGAATTAATATGTTGGTGGCTGAAAGTAACGTTAATAATTCGTGTAACATGTTTTTAATTTAATTTTTGTTAAAGAATTTTTAAATTTTAACATCGATAATTTATATTTGATTGAATTTTTTTTTTTTTTTTTTTTTTAAAAAAAACTCTCAATATTGAAGATTTTGACCGATAAATATCTAAAAAAAGAAATATATATTCACAAAATATATTTATTTATCTTATTTTTTACTAAAGTTTAAATTTTTTAATTAATTATTTAAAAAACAATACGACCAATAATAATAGCAAGTGCTTGAGTATATTCCACAAACATAAATTTTTGTGGGCACCAAATTGAAAGTAGATATATTTTAGTGATGATAATTGTCGGCCGAATTAGTACCATTTGAATCGGTATAAAATTAGGAAATAATATTTTAGAATATTTATTTATTTTAATTCGTACATATTGAAAATTAATTATCTTAATTGAAATTAAGATTTTAAGCTGTTAATTTAATAGAAATATTAATTCTTTTAAAAAATATATATATATAAAGTGAAAGACAATATCATAATTAATTGAAGAGACACAACATGGATTATGGGCATGGGAGGAGAGAGAAAAAGAATTAAGGATAAAATTGGAATCAAATTGTTGTGGCGGTGATGAATCCATTATTATTATTATTATTATTTTTTTAAATGAAGACTAGTAGGCGGTGGTTGAAAAGTCCGTGGATCTCACCCGGATTAAGGTCCGACCCGGTTTGCATTAATCTCATTGATTCCTAATCTACAAGGTGGCCCCCCTAATTCATTTTAAAATTTGTAATTAATGGGATATAAAGAAGGTTCTAACGACGAGATTTATAATTAATTTGACTTTAGATACACTTTTGGAAGCTAAGTAGCTAGTGACATGCACAAACACACACACACACACACACATATATATATATATATATATGAATTCAATTCAATGGGAAGATTGGATTTAGGGTTTTAATTTGGGATTAATTAAACTTTTTTTAACGTTTGGATTGCTTGCAGAAATGGTAATGTTAATTAAGTACTACTTCAAGCTCTAAATAAATAGCCTTAAATTTTAAGAGTCCAACTTAAGAATTCAACTTGCGTTTCTAATTAGGAAGATTTTAGATTAATAATTTTGATATATATATGATACTATGCATTTATATAAAATATGAAACTTCGTTGAGCTTTCTTTTTTCAAAATAAAAGCGAGTTCGCGTCATGATGAAGATACATCATAGGATTTCACTAATTGAAATAATAATATTTATTTAGAAAATGCATGCACGTACCTTTCCATGATGGTAACTATACACACACGTTTATGTATGTATATGATAAAGAAAGATTTGTAAGATTAATATAATTAAAAATAAAAACGAAAGGAGGGAAACGTGTACACTAATTTTTATGAGACGCGACCTTCACTAACACGATATTAATTAATCAATCTTGGTTTATAAGAAATTTTTACTTTGCATTTTCTGTCTCTTTAATCTTTAATTGATATTTTTCTTCGTAATTAATTAGCCACGACCCTTCACGCATGGGATCATCTTTATAATTAATTATTTATTTATTTATTGTATTTCTCAATCATGAAAATAACTAATTTGACATATTTTATTTTTTAATTGTTTTCGTTCTCTATTATAATTGATGTCCTTTCTCAATTTATTAAAAAAAAACTTACCCAGCACGGTTCTGTGTTATTTTAATAAATTTCAGTAATTTGTGAAGAGTTTAAAATGTTTTTTCTTAATCTTAAATATAAAATCTAAATACGTTTTGATAATAATAATAATAATAAAATGGTGAAACTGAAAAAAAAAAAAAAAAAAAAAAAAAAAAACTATGTTTACGATTCTAGAAGACAATTTGGACTGTACAAATACACGCCATTATATATATTTTATTAAATAAATAAATAATAATAATTTTAATAAATATAAATTTTTTGTTAAAGTTTTAAAAATCTCATGAGCAATTTTAGGTCCAACAATTTCATGTGGGATTCGGATATAAAATTAAATATTGTCTATGACAAAATTATTAATAATGGACTGGGCCCTAAACAATCCCCTAATTCCGTCTTCCACTTGTCGTTTTACGTCTCGTCCCTTGTCGTTTTGCTTGTCGGGTCCAAAGAAAATAGAAATTCAGAAGAGAAGAGATATAGAATGCTGCGTAGTATTGGCGGTCAGGAGTCTCTCAATCCAATTCGTTTGATCTCCCTTCTTTTATTGTCTTCCTCTTCTTATCCTATCGCTCTAAAGGGTACACCTAGCTACTCGTTCTTTGACTCAGTTTGACCCATCTCCCTGCCTACTAGTTAACTCTGAATTCCTTCTAATATAATTTTATATTTACATACCTGTTAGACGTGTGTTACCGGGTTAAGATAGTGGTGAGAAGAGTAGCAGAGGCAGTTTCAAGCGCATGTTAATCAACCCTGGCGGAGGATCTCCGGCTTCCGCCACCTCTGAAGAATGGACAATCTTGCATGGAATCACTGGCATGGTTTCCCCAGGTGAAATCCACGCCATCTTGGGTCCTTCCGGCAGTGGAAAGTCAACGCTTCTCGGTGCTCTCGCCGGCAGACTCCAAGCTGCCGGTCACGGATTTACCGGTACTATCCTATGTAACAATAAGAAACCCAGTAAACAAATATCAAAACGCATAGGATTTGTCACCCAAGACGATGTTCACTACCCCCACCTCACCGTCCGCGAAACCCTAATATTCTGCTGTTTACTCCGGTAGCCCAGGTCATTGTCGAAGAAAGAGAAGATATCAGTGGTTGAGTAGGTGATATCCGAGTTAGGTCTAAGTAAATGCGAGAATACCATAATTGGAAACAGCTTCACACGCGGGATATCCGCGCGGGGGGGGCGGGGGAGGGGGGAGAAAGAAAGCGGGTGAGTATAGGTCACGAGATGCTAATAACCCCTACTTTGCTGATTCTTGACGAACCCACATCGGGGCTTGACTCGACGGCGGCGCATAGTCTGGCTACGACATAGGGATCGTTAGCTCAGAAGGGGAAAACCGTAGTGACGTCTATACACCAACCATCAAGCCGAGTTTACCAGATGTTTGACTCAGTGCTGGTTCTGAGCGAGGGACGATGCTTGTATTTCGGGAAAGGAAATGAAGCAATGAGTTACTTGGAGTCGGTGGGGTTAAAACCATCTTTTCCCATGAATCCTGCGGATTTCCTCCTCGATCTCGCCATTGATACGTACACTTTTTCTTTCTTTTCTTTATTTTATTTTCTTTTATTTTCTTGGTTGTTGCTGAGTTGAGTTGATATGCCTGTGGTTTAGTCTTCTCTGTAAATGCGATGTTGACTCAGTGGGTCAGTTCTATATATATATATATGTATGTATATAGATGCGTATAGGCATATAGATGCGTTGCATTCGTGGTTTGGGAGATTTTAGAAAGCGTGAACTGACAGCTACTGAAGGTCGAAGATGCAACAAAATTTTATAAGCCGTTTGGGTTTTAATTATTAAATACTGATAAACATTTGTTATAAAATTAGGAAAACTATAATGCGGAGGACTATACATCTATATATATATATATAGAGAGAGAGAGAGAGAGAGAGAGAGAGGGAGAGAGAGGGACAGGATGTGATGTAGCAGACGGTGGCTACTTGTGTTGGCCATCTCTGGTCAATTCAATTAATCTGCAAAAGCAACCTTGATAGTAAAGAACTGTGTTATTGCTGCTGCATTAATTGTTCCAGTGCTGCTGCATTTTATCATCTATATAATTTTATTTTATATACATGTATAAGATAAAGAAAGATATGCAATCAATGGGAGATATGGAAGGAGGGGCACATCTACAATACTTTTTATGATACGCATCCTCGCTAACACGACATTAATTAATCAATCTTGGTCTATAAGCAATTTGTAGTTTGCATTTTCTGTCTCTTTAATCTTTAATTCATATTTTTCTTCCTAATTAATTAACAAATAATCATTTTATAATTTTGCAGCCAAGCCATTGACCCTTCACGCATGGGATCATCATTATATCACATCCCTTTTATTTATTTATTTATTGAATTTCTTAGTCACTAAAATAATTAATTTGACATATAAATATATATATCTCCTCATTTTTTTTTAATAAAAAAAAATTTAATGTTGTTTTGGTTCTTTATTATATTGATTTTTAATTCGAGAAAACTTAACCAACACGGTTCTGTGTTATTTTAATAAATTTAAAAAATTAAAAAATTACTGTATATTAAATTTCATTAATTTTTAAATAATTTAAAATGTAATTTTATAATATTAAAAATAAAAGGATTCATTTATTCCAAATACATTTTGATAATAATAACAACAACTATGTTAAATATTCTACAAGTACACGTCATAATATATAGAATTAAAAATTGTTTATGACGCAATAATTTGGCAATTAGAAGAACATAGACTGGACTGGGGTTCGGAGGAGAATAATCATTTGATTTGCCCAATTTTACCCTCCTTAGAATTTTAACTGACAATTTGTCTCAACCTTTTATTATGTACAAAGCCTATTGTCATGCATGTACATATATATATATATATATATCACATTAATTAATTTTTTTTTTTTTAAAAAAAGACTCCAATATTTCCTAAAGACCGACTGTATAAGATAATTAATTACATTCTAAATTGTTCTAATATTTAATTTAAATAAACAAAACTGGAGATAGAATAAATACATTATAATACTTTTAGTTGTATTTCTTCTCAATAATATTTTACTTTTGACAGGTCAAATACAATACTATTGTTTTTTTATTTTATTTGATAACAATGATAATATCATCTATTTTATTCCCATCAAAGTAATTGATATATTCAAATAAATAAAAATATATATAGTAGAAACGAAATAAATCCAGGGGAGGACAAAAGAGGAAGCTGCCACGTGTAAGCGCACGTGATTAATCTTTTTGTTTAGTAGTAAACTGCACGTGAGTATTACTTTTCGTTGGATTATTTGGTTTTATGTTGAGTTTATTATGTATTAACTAAATGGGATCTTAAAAAAAAAAAAAAACTGAAAAAATTGAATCAACGGTTCACCGTCTTCTATTTTCCTTGAGTTAAAAAATATTACATAACCTGGAAAAAGCGTTAAAAATATAATTATTTTATTTTAATACAAAATTTTGAAGGGTTCAAGCCCATGGGCCAAAAGCTTAAGTTGCAGTTGGAACCGAATCTTTTAATTTCTTTTTTATGTTTATCGTAAAGGTCGGAGAGGGGAACAGTGAGTGCCAGACACGTATCACCGCCTCCTTCCGGAAGTGGGGACCGCCACTATCTCCGAGAGAGAGAATTAGAAACGACTTTTGAATTTTATTTTACGTAATCAAGTTTTGCTGTTTGAGGTAAAAGTGGAATTTGGTTACATCACGGGTCAGCCCGCTGTCACGTTAGCAAAACCTCTTCAATGTAGAATGGTAGCAACAGTGAGCTGGCAAGGAAAAAAGTCATGAATTTCTGCACAACCTTTTTTTGAGGAGACTCCCCTTTTAATGCGGAAAAGGCAGATTTGCCATGCCGTTCCTTTTTCCTATTTATTTATTTAATTAAATAAAAATTACTACCAAGTAAAATTTTGAAGATGCCGTTTCACGTATTTATTTATTTATTATTATTATAATAATAAATATATTTATTATCTGCGATATAAAATTGAAATATATCTTCTATTCTTTTTATAATTGAGTTTTTTACTAGTAATTATTAAAGTAGGAACTTAATTCTCTTAGCTGTCAAATTATATATATGATTCAAAATTATTTTAAACATGCACAAAAATTCATCTTAGCTTAAACTTTACAGAATCAAACTCTCATCTAATCCAATAATAATAATAATAATAATTTTTAATTATTAGTTTAGAGTTAAAATTTAATATGTATGGAAAAATATATTTTTTTTTTTGCACAAAGAAAGATAAAAATTAAAAAAATTATTATATATATTCAAAAGATATTGTTAATGAAAAATTGTTAGAAATCATTTGATAATTTACATGTAAAAATTGATTTTTCCATTTAAACCCAAAAACAAAAAATTATTCTCACAGTGAACGGCGCTTGATTTTCTCATCAAACTCACTTTCTCGCCACCTGTCACCTTCTTCTGCCACGTAGCACCTTTTCTTGTTAGTATTTTCCTCTGACGTGGCATCCACTTCCCCTCCCCCCCCCCCCCAACCCGGTTTCCCTTTTTCCCTCCTTATATACCCCTCCCCTCCTCCCCCCCCTTCCCTCCTCTCCATTCGCATCCCCCCCACCCCTCCTCCTCCTTTCATATTTCGTCTGTCGTTTTCCCTCTCCTCCTTTGTCGTTTTGCGTGTTGGGTCCAAATAGAATAGAAATTCAGAAGAAGAGAAGACAGAATCATGCGTAGTATTGGTGGTCAGGATCATACAGAGGAAACTCCCAATGGAGTCTCTCAGTCCAATTCGTCTGATCTCCCTTCTTTCTTGTCTTCTTCTTCCTATCCTATCACTCTAAAGGTATACTACCTTCCTCCCTCGGCGACTCAACTACTCGTTCTTTGACTCAGTTTGACCCATCTCCCCACCTACTAGTTAACTCTGAATTCATTCTAATATAATATTATATTTACATACGTATTATTTTTATTTCTGTTCATGCAGTTTATTGACGTCTGTTACCGAGTAAAGATAGTGGAGAAGAATGGCAAAGGCCGTTTCAAGCGCATGTTAATCAACCCTGGCGGAGGATCCCCGCCTTCCGCCACCTATGAAGAACGGACCATCTTGCATGGAATTACCGGCATGGTTTCCCCGGGTGAAATCCTCGCAATCTTGGGTCCCTCCGGCAGTGGAAAGTCAACCCTCCTCAGTGCTCTCGCCGGCAGACTCCAAGCCGCCGGTCACGGATTCACCGGGACTATCCTATGTAACAACAAGAAACGCAGTAAACAAATATCAAAACGCATCGGATTTGTCACCCAAGAAGATGTTCTCTACCCCCACCTCACCGTCCGCGAAACCCTAATATTCTGCTCTTTGCTCCGGTTGCCCAGAACCTTGTTGAAGAAAGAGAAGATATCAGTGGCTGAATCGGTGATATCCGAGTTGGGTCTAAGTAAATGCGAGAATACCATAATTGGAAACGGCTTCATTCGCGGGATATCCGGGGGGGAAAGAAAGCGAGTGAGTATAGGTCACGAGATGCTAATAAACCCTAGCTTGCTGATTCTTGACGAACCCACATCTGGGCTTGACTCGACGGCGGCGCATCGTCTGGTTTCGACGTTGGAATCGTTAGCTCAGAAGGGGAAAACCATAGTGACGTCTATACACCAACCGTCGAGCCGAGTTTACCAGATGTTTGACTCGGTACTGGTTCTGAGCGAGGGACGATGCTTGTATTTCGGGAAAGGAAATGAAGCAATGAGTTACTTGGAGTCGGTGGGGTTGAAACCATCTTTTCCCATGAATCCTGCGGATTTTCTCCTCGATCTTGCCAACGGTACGTACACTTTTTTCGTTTCCTTTCTTTTCTTTTCTTTTCTTTTCTTTTCGTTTCTTTTTCTTTTCTTGGTTGTTGCTGAGTTGAGTTGATGTGCCTGTGGTTTCGTCTTCTCTGTAAATGCAATGTTGTTGGTATGCGAAGTTGGTAAGTGAGTTGACTCGGTGGGTCAGTTCTATATGTATGTATATAGACACGTATAGGCATATAGATGCGTTGTATGCGTGGTAGTGCGATTTTAGAAAGCGTGAACTGACAGCTACTGTTAAAAGATAGGAAGGTCGAAGATACAACAAAATTTTGTTAGTCGTTCGGGTTTTAATTATTAATATTAATAAATATTTGTTATGAAATTAGGAAAACTATAATGCGGAGTACTGTACATATATATATATATATAATCACGCAGAGATGTAATTATATGTATGTATGTATGTGTGTGTGTGTGTGTGTGTGTGTGTATGTGTGTATATATAGTGTAGAGAAAAAGAGAGAGATATAGATAGAGGAGGAGGAGGAGGAGGAGGAGGAGATGGTATCATCTACTTGTGTTGGGCATCTCTGGACATATCAATTCAATCTGCAAAAGCAACCTCGATAATAACTGTGTTGTTGCTGTTGCATTAATTGTTTCAGTACCTGCTGCATTTTATCATATAATAAATTAAAAAGTAAATTACATAAGTTTTAATTTTTAAAATTACTACTAAAATATGATTACCCTTATTCCTTTATTTATTTATTTGTTTTATTTTTTTGAAAATAGAAAACCTAGTTTTATAAAATATTGAAAACACATGGGAGATTTTTAGATAATAATGTGTGATGTGTAAGAGGATAGACTAAATATCAAGGTTTGATTTTTTTGTTTCTTAATATCTTTTTGGATTTTGCATAAATATGTATATGGGTGGGTAATTAATTTACAGAAACATAACTTTTCCCAAGAAGAAGAAAATAAAAAGAAAGAAAAGGAAATAATTTAATTGGATATTTGGGTTGAATTATAAAGCTGTAAGATGTTTTATGTATATATTTATTTATGTATGTATATATGTGTGTGTGTGTGTGTGTGTGTATAAATTACTAGTAAAAGAGTTTAATTTAAATTGATTTCAAGAGTGGGAAATATAATGTTTTGTTTGTTGCAGTACACGCGTCCGCTTTTCCTTAACTTTGACGGTCTTTCTATTTTCAAAACCCAACTTTACGTCACCTCCTCATTTTATTGTTAAAATCAAATCTGCCAACTCTTAGATTTCTTAAATGAATTTTATGAGGGATTTTAACAATTCTTAATGGTGGAATAAAAATTGTGATCTGAAATTTTGGAAATTGGATGGAGTCTTTATATAATTTTGGGGTATTGGGAAATGGGTTTGGATTTTTAAACTCTTTACTAATCTGTATTTTACAAGTATGTATATATATATATATATATATAGTGAAGTGATAATTCATTCATGGGCAGAATTTAATAGCGGAAGAAATTGTGATGTAAAATTCTGGAAATTGGAGGGAGTTTTTATAGAAATTTGGGGTATTGGGAAATGGGTCTAATGTGTATTTTAGGAATACACACACACATATATATATATATTTGTGTGTGTGTTTGTATTCCTAAAAAGTAAAAACATGAATTAATTTGTCCCACCAAAGAAAGAGTTTTGGGGTAATGGTGTGAGCTCAAGCTAGAAAGGCCACGAGAGCTAGTGGTCCAAAAAGTGCATCTGCCCTTCTGCGCATATATATGCACAGATAGATACTACCACACACACACACGTATATATATATATATATATATATGGATATACAGATGAGAGGAGTAGAAAACTAAGAAATTGGTTGATGGGAAAGCAAGTGGCTTTGTGAAAGTCATTGACTTGTTCATTGTCTAATTACAACGCATCAATGCCTACATATTTTGCTTCACAACTTAGGTCTTAGTCTACACTTTCAACTCCTCCTATACAATATTATATTTTAAGTCTTTTTCTATCTACCTATTTATTATCAACGTCTGTATATATATATATATATATATCTTTATTGAAAGTTCGTACGTAAATACTATATTATTAAAATTTTAAGCACCCTTATGCTAATTATTTAAAATTCTTATATATAAATTAAATAAAATTTAGAGAAAAAAGAAGAATTATATGGTGGTTTCTTTATACATATAATAATTAAATTTTGGGATGATAAATACATTATATGGGTCTATAGATAGATTTAGTCATGGAGCAGAATGATGGAAATTAATGTGGATATGGAGGTGGGCATAGAGGAAGGGGATGACGACATTCATAGCGTATGAAACCATCTTATTATATATATATATATATGTGTATAGATGTAGTAGTGTTGTAGTATAAATATTAAATGGGGAAGGGCACTCAATTGAGAAGGTGCTTCACCGCATCACTGTCTCTTTTTTGTCCCTAGTTTATTGGTGTCATTAGGCTTGTCTCCACATATTCTTTTCACTATTTTACTAATTAATTAAGTATTAAATTGTTTTTTTTAATTAATAATTATAATAATCAAAATTTAAATTAACTTTATTGAATATTTAATTACGCTGAAAGTGGTGACCTTTATCCTTGAATTAGAAAGAATTCGTGTATGGTATAAGAAATTAATTAATAGAGGGTAGCTAAAAGGGGCACTTTAAATAGCATATTATGCTATAATAGAAAATTATTAGGGAGATTAGTTTAATAATCTTTATATTATTATGAAAAAGAAAAGTGATGGCTCTAATATATATATATATACATATATATATGTGTGTGTAAGAACTGGCGCAAGTGTTTTGCATATTCTTATGTTTGATACTGGGTAGGTCAAACATAATTTGACAAATGTTTCTATAGTTATCAATATACTGTATATATTCTAAAAAAAAAATGTAAAGGTTCCTTAATTATTTGATTTGGGAAATATGAGTTGTACCAACTTTTTAGTTTCTGTGTAAATAATTAAAAAGAAAATTTAAGAAAGGTGATACATAAATTTATATTTATTCAAAAAAGTGTTTATATATATTTTTTTCTTTCTTGAATTAGATGGTGTTTATTCGAGTTGTATTTGGATTCTAAATCATGCTTAGGGTAAAAATAGAAACATAGACTTAACTTAGCTTAATTATATAAAATTCTAGACTCAGTCTATCTAATTATCTTGGTTGAGACAGAAGGCAAGAAATGGTATCTTACATTTGGATGAGAACATACATACATACATATATATATGTCTATATATGCATAGTATCTAATTATATGATTGTATGGAATAGAAAAAATGATGTGTCCATTACTCATAAGAAACAGAGTCATCATGTTTGAAAATCTGTCTCTCACACTCTTTTTTTCAACTCATAAATCTTTAGAAACTTGGTATATGTGTTCAAGCCCTACACGTGTTGGCTTCTTATGATTAATTAGTTACTTTACAAAAAGTCTATGCTTATCACCAAAATAAATCATCAAAAGTTTCACTTATGATGTTAATCCATGTTTTCTTGGTTAGAGAAAACAATGCAATTAATTGATTAATTAAGATTGGAAAGTTAATTTATTAGTTAATTAAACCAAAAGTGGTTGCCAAACCATAGTGGCGGCATACAGCACTATTATTCTCTAGTGGACTCCCATCTTACCACACCAACACTGCTCAGCTTTTGTTTTATGACATCTATGCACATGTGCTTATATTATATACATATATATATATATATGTATGTGTTATGTATGCTAATTAGGAAAGTACTTTGCTGTAAAGTCTTAATTAGCTACCAATAAGCTTGTAAACCAATTGTTTGTTATTATTGACTGTTAATTTTGTGGTGCTTTTCCCACTAATGCACCTTGTTTTCTTCTTATCCTTTTATGTCCAATCAAATATTTTTATTACATGGGTAAGATTTTTTTTTTCTTTTTTTTTTCTGGTTATGATTAAAGATTATGATCTGATCCACATCTCCAAAGAGTTTTTTCTTTGATTGATTTTTTTTTTTCATTAATTTAATCATTTGAATAGTTAATTAATTTCTCCTTTTGCTGCAAAGCAAAGAAAGCCTTACCCAACCAAGATTATGTTCTGTCCCTCAATATAATTGTTTTCTGGATGACCATTAGAGCTAATTACACTAAAGATGTGTGTCCTTGCTTTTCTTAATAAATTAGTTATCTAGCTAGGCCTACAAAATCCTTTTAGGTGGTGTTAATTTTGCACATATATATATATATAATTATTAATGAAAATATAATATTACATTATCATTCAGGATTCTCTACTAGTAATTACTGATTTTGGAAATCAAATTGATTTTGCAGGGGTGTGCCAAGTTGATGGGCTTAGCGAGAGAGAGAAACCAAAGGTTAAGCAAACTCTTGTTGCCTCTTATAACAACTTATTAGCCCCTAAAGTAAAAGCTATTTGTATGGATTCATCTTCTACAAATTCAATTCAATTAAACCAACATCATTCTTCAACTCTAGAACAAAGGAGCTCCGAAAACAGAATCAGTCTCTCTACCTGGTTAAACCAATTCAGTATTCTCTTCCGGAGAAGCCTCAACGAACGAAAACACGAGTCCTTCAACACGCTACGAGTCTTCCAGGTCATTGCTGCAGCAATCTTGGCCGGATTAATGTGGTGGCACTCTGATTTTCGGGATATCCAAGACAGGCTTGGCCTTCTCTATTTCATTTCCATTTTCTGGGGTGTTTTTCCCTCCTTCAATGCGGTTTTTGCATTCCCTCAAGAACGTGCCATCTTCATGAAAGAGAGAGCTTCTGGCATGTATACGCTTTCCTCATATTTTATGGCAAGAATTGTTGGAGACCTCCCAATGGAGCTAATTCTCCCCACTCTGTTTCTCATTGTCACTTACTGGATGACCGGGTTGAAAGCTGAATTGGGTGCTTTTGTTCTCACCCTCTTGGTCCTTCTCGGCTATGTGCTTGTGTCTCAAGGCCTCGGCCTTGCTTTAGGGGCAGCAATCATGGATGCTAAACAGGCTTCCACCATTGTTACAGTGACAATGCTTGCATTCGTTTTGACTGGAGGATTTTATGTGCACAAGGTGCCTTCTTGCATGAGTTGGATCAAGTATGTTTCCACAACTTTTTACACCTACAGGCTATTTATCAATGTACAATATGGGGACGTCAATAGGATCTCGTATCTATTGGGGTGCTATTCTCGCCACGAAAATACTGATAGAGCTGCTAGTTGCAAGTTTATTGAAGAAGATATTAGAGGGCAGATCAGCCCAATGACCAGTATTGGGGTCTTGTTGCTAATGTTCATAGGCTATAGAATACTGGCTTACCTTGCGCTGAGACGCATCAAAGGTTAAAGAAGAATCTAACTATCATGATGAGGTAGTTAACTGGTCCTTAGGTTTCTATGTAGTTCCACGTCCACTGTTTCTGCAATTGTAAGTTTCTCACAAGAAAATGATGAAGAAAGGAATATGAATTACCTTTTGGTTATTTATGGCGCTCTTTATCTTGGTTGTCTATGGGGTATAATAGAATAAATGGAAAGAAATCAAATAGGCAATAACTGTAGTGGAAGAACATTCTGATTTTTCTTTGATTAAATTGTGAAGGAGATCAAAAAGACCTCATCCGTTGTTTATTTACATTTACCATCTTTGACATATTTGTAGACAGACACACAACATCTCCGCCTTATTGGGGATTGAAATTTGCTTGCAAAATTGACTGGAAAGATCAGATAAAAGATTTTTTTTTTTTAAGATGAGAAGTTAGATCAACGATTAATAAGTTACCTGGGTTCACCCATGTATATTTTATGGACGGATTTACAGCGAATTCAAATTAACTGGTTGTTTTTTCATGCATTGTAAAAGAAAAAAAAAAACTGGCTGCTGCTTCATTTAATTTCCCATACAAACAGTACAAAAGGCACTCTCTCCCAAGAGATGAACTACCCTTCTTTTTTTAAAAAAAAAAAAAAAAAAAATCCTCATTTTAATTTCAGACAATCTCTTTCGGCAGAAATAAGTAGATATATGAAACACTTAAATGATCTGTACCACAGCAGCTATTCTCAAGGCCCCATTTTGTAGAAGATCAGCAAGCTCATCAAATAATAGGGCTGTCCTCCAGCCCCATCCCTTGGGAGCTTTTGGTAAAAGGGTGCCCCTCTGTTTGATGCTCCCGAACACCATGACTTCCCTCTTTGATGGACAAATTAACTGAAAATGTAATACAGCATAAAATAAACATAATGTAGAGATATAGAGATATTCGTAACGGTCAACGAAAGAATTGACACCAATCTACTCGACCATACCTGATAACGAGCAGTGACCTTCTCACGAGAATCTACATACATATGGACCTGCAGAAAAGAAATAAGCACAGAGTTAAAGCACTTACTAAGATTTCAACTTCAACCCATGTCAATACAGATAATTCGGAGATTCTTTATTAATCAGTCCAGGATCAGGACCGGAATAACAATGATCTGAAAAAGTAAAGAATTGACAGAAAACGGATAGATGTCAAGAGCATCACTTGTGTGCATGTGTGTCAAGAACATCCCATCATATTGATTTACAGTTAGG